CACTAGTCATCTCGAAATATAAATATAGTCAATAAGTCATTAATTTAAAATGAGAAATAAGTCAAACAACTACAATCTTGAAATTAAAAGTGCAAGTATCCAATTCGGAGTATGAGTTAATGACTTAATTCGGATATAGCCATATAGGCCCATTATTTGATTACCAAGTAAAATGTAGTTTTAGATTTTCATTTTTGTTTAGAATTTTATTAAGTAAATTTTGGGATTTTTTTAAAAAAAGTTGATACGGGTATCCATCAGGATACGAGTATCGGAAACTTTCAAAAAATTACAAAAAAAAAATGGAAACTTTTAAAAATTGCAGATACGGCCCGGGAACGTACGGTACGGGTATCCTAGAGTATCGGATACGGGAACGTATCGGATACGCCGATACGCTACCCTAGCGAAGTATCCGTGCTTCATAGGTTAACTGTGACCCTGTGAGTATTTGATACAACGTATATTGTGGAAGCTTAAGGGTGGAAGGTAAAGGGTGGAAGGTAAATGAAATTTTGTATGATGATGCCTTGATTACAGAAGTTACCATTATGACTCTAACACCCATAGGAGTAGTAAGAGTCAATTGGTTCTTCTAAGTCTGTAGGGAAGAATTAAGCATATTGCTTAACTTCTTCTGTAAATCAGCTTGCTGATTGTTCCAAACTTTATCTTTCTGAACTTAAACAATGAAAAATGGACCCTCATCCATCTGTGTTGACTATAATGTGGAAGCTTAAGGGTGGAAGATAAAATGTTGTATGATGAAGCATTGATTACCTGTTGTGTGATTCTTATTGATCATTTGTACCTTGATTACAAAAGCTACCATTGTGACTTAACACTCAAAGGAGTAGTAAGAGTCAATTGTTTCTTCTAAGTCTGTAGGAAAGAATTAAGCCCACTGCTTGACTTCTTCTGTAAATCAGTTTGCTGATTGTTCTAGACTTCATCTTTCTGAACTTGAACAATGAAAAATGGACCCTCATCCATCCATCCATCTGTACTTGCTATAATGTGGAAGCTTAAGGGTTGAAGCCTAATCTACCTATGTGTACTTAATTACTTATATAGATGGATGGTGAAGATAGTGTTGCCATGCATGTATCTGGTCAACCTCCTCTACGCCAGAAATCTGCGGTGGAAGCTCCCATTGTAGAGAATACTGATACCACTCAACAGACTGATACAACTGTTGTTTCTGGCCAAAAGAGGAAACAGGTTGAATCCAGGTCCAAGATAATGGGAACACTTTGTAAAGATTTTTTATGCAAATGGAGTTCTTGTTAAAGGAAAATGCATATATTATGCAACAATATATTGTTGTCATTCAAAAAAACATAAAACCTCATCTATAAGAAACCACATGCTCAGTTGTCTGAAGAACACTCATTCTAAGGACACTAGGCAAACTCTCTTAACCTTCCAACCAATCACTGGTGCTAGTCTTAGTGAAGAACCTGCTGGGGTTTTAGATACCTGGGTGTTTGACCAAACTGCAATTAGAAGAGCTCTTGTAGAACTACATATAATTGATGAGCTTCCTTTTAGGTTTGTTGAGAGGCAGAGTTATAAAAAGTTTATGTCCATAACTTGCCCTAGATTTAAGATCCCATCTAGGTGGACATTTACCAAATCTACTTAGATGAGAATTAAGATTAATTTGAAAAAGCTATTTAGGGAGACAACACAGAGGGTAAGTATTACTACTGACACATGGACCTCTGTACAGAGGATCAACTACATGTGTATTACTGCTCATTACATAGACCACCAGTGGAAGCTTCAGAAAAAGATTATTTCCTTTGTCCAAGTTACTTCTCACAAAGGGGAGTACATTGCTAAGGCTCTTGAGAACTGTCTAGTGGGGGCTGAAAAACATATTCTCTATCACTGTTGATAATGCAAGCAGCAATGATACAACAGTAGGCTTCTTCAAGAAAAAGCTTGCTTCTTGGGGTGTTTCTGCTGTTAAACTGAAGTATCTCCACATGAGATGTATTGCCCACATTATTAATGATGGTCCCGGAGAGGGGTAAGAGTCTAGAGGGGGGGGGGGGGGGGTGAATAGACTCTTAAAGATTTTTCAATTTTAGGAGTTTTACTCCTTTAGTTGATTTATAATCTTTTGAGAGATTGATAGATACACAGCGGAAGTCTCTAACCTCTAGATACTTAGCATGAAACAACTTTCTTATGTGGATGTGGTTTTAGACCTTTTATGAAAGCAGTGGTCTTGGCAGTTGACTGGATGGTAGTGTACTGCTGACACTACTGCGGTATTGGCAGTTGATTGATTTGTAGGAAACTGCGGAGCCAGCTGCTGAGATACAAGATGATATTCTGAGGGTGGTTTAAGTGGATTTCTTGTTGTTGATAATGAGAAGTTCAAAAGAGACGCAAAGGCGTAAGCAGTGGGATCAGCAGTTGACTGGATAGTAGGGTACTGCCAAGGCAACTGCTAAAATATTAAAGATGCTTGAGGAAAGATTAACTCAAGGAGAGTGAGTAATTAAGCAGAAGGATAAGCAGTAGGGTCAGTTAAGACTACTGCTTAGGATGCTGCTGACAAACTACAATCCTTTTGTGAGAAGTGTTTGGTGTGTGCTTTGTTAGTTTATAAGTAAATTAACACACAGTGTATCCTGGTTCAGAGGTGGTGTAATCCTCCTACATCCAGTCCCATTCTCTTTTAAATGGATTTCCACTAAAGTATTTAACCCCAATACACTTAGTGCCAATCTAGCCTTTACAACTCTTAGGCCTAGATTTAAAGGTGTTTCACAATGAGTATTACATTTCTCAAAGTTACTCAATCCTTTGGATTTTCTCAATTGATCCAGTGGGGATCAAAAGGTACTCTATCTATCTATCTACACTTAAGGATATGAGCAACTGTTCTCCTAAGTGTTTACAACAGTTTAATACAAGAAAGTTCTAACCTCCAACTAGATACTAAACTTCTAGAATTTCGATGAATGTTTGTGACTTAGAAGTTTAGTGAAGCATGAGTCTAAGCAGAGAGTAAAGTTAAGCGTGCACTTTCTCTTTTGCTAGATATCTCTTGTATGCTTAGAGTGATTACTCTACTTAAAAAACTCAAGACTTAGTTTTAGAACTCATGCCTATGCCTTCTTTTATAGGCTTCTCCAGTAGGTTGATCTCCTCCGTTGGTTGAGAGGATTCAATCCTATTCGCAGAATGAGGTGTACTCTTGTTCTCTTGTGCTGGAGCTGATATTGGAAATTTCCTTTGTCTTCACTGATTAGTAGCTAGAAGATCAAGTCAAGGATCAATCTTCACGATTTGGTGTGTGCGACCCATCTTCTTTGGTCTTCGTACTGTTGAGCATTTAATGCTTTTCTTGTCTTTGTCTTCAATCATACACATGCAGTGTATGTGTGTGTGTATGCTGTGTTCTATTTTATTATGTACTAAATAAATTTGTACTGGTAAGATCAAAGTGTCCTTCTAAGGTAAACAAATTTTACCTTATTGTAGTTTTTAGTTTCCAGTAAAATTTATTTGGTACAGAATTAATTTGTCATTTCTTGATCAGCTGATTATGTGATTTGATAATTTTATGTACTAAATAAATTTATACTGGTGGGACCTGAATATCCTTTTAAGGTAAAAAGAATACCTTATTGCATTTTAATTTTCCAGTAAAAATTTGTTTAGTACAAAAATTGTACATTTTAATCAGTCACAGTTTGAGAGCCTGATCAACCTTTAATTAAAGTAAGAACGCAGGACATATTGACTCTTAGTATAATGGCATCATCAAAATCTTATTAAAATTGGGTACTAACACTTAACCTGGCAGTTCAAGATGGCTTACAGCATTCTGACACTGCTGTGTCTAAGGTTAGGGAAGTAGTTAAGTATGTTAGGAATTCTCCTTTGGATGCCTCCAATCTGTTTTGAACTGAAAAGAAGCAATCTGAACCAAATTTTATCTACTGTATTAATTGTGAAACTAGTTGTTCCCCTTTTGGTAATGATGAAAGTTTCCACCATATACTGAAATCAGATTGAGTTGGTATTAAATTTAGTTAATGTTAAATTGGATTGGGCCTCTTAAGAGTGTATCTTTAGATGGCTTGAAACCTAGCACTAAATATTTTGGATGCCCCAATCTGTTTTGAATTGAAAAGAAGCAATCTGAACCAATTGTGAAATTAAATTTGTCAATTATGAAATTAATTTATGGCATGTGATTATTCACACATTATTTCTTGACTACTTAACTTTTATGTGCAGGATTAAAGGTTAAAGGGTATTGGAATGTATGAATCTAAGCTATAGACTTCAAGAAGTGTTTCTCATTGGAAATAACAGCAACGTAAATGGAGTTCCAAAATTCTTTGGAAATAGGGAGACAAGCGGTAAAAAGTAAAAACAAGAGACTAACTCGCCGCCAACAAATAGGGAGCAAACTCGTTGATGAATAGGGAATGCAAATGAACAGTCCTCTAGCAGACGAAGTCGCCGGCGAACTGGAAGCGGAGTCGTCGGTGAACAAAGAACGGAGAACAAGACCGGAGGCGACTTGGGGTTAGGATAATTCTTCTGTTAGAATTGACGGATAATTAACAATAAATATAAGAGTGTGAAATATGGCTAGAGACCGGATATCACTTCTACTCACATAAAATATACGTTTTCCTAAAAGTTTACTATCTACTCATATCACAGTAACCGGGTTACAAGATACTACCTCCGTCCTGAAAAGGTTCGCCGTATTGACTTTTCTTAGTCAATGATGGCGAACTTTGGATAATGATTTTACTTATTATATTTGTATAGGATTTATAAGTTTTATACTATTATGAAAATATTTTGAATAAGGAACATTTTGATATAATTTTCATACTCTAAATAATTTCTATCAAAATATATCATTGGTCAAAGTTGATTGTCAATGACCAAGAAAAGTCAATTTGGCGAACCTTTTCGGAACAGAGGAAGTAGAACTTTTGGGATGAAAAAAGTGTTTGGTGTATTTTAGTTACTGATAAAATAAAATCGAACAAATGATTTGTATATATAAAGTGGTGTGATTAGTTGATAAGACTAAAAAGACAAAAAATAGGGTAGCCAAACGAGTGAAGCAACTTTAGGTTTCACGACAATCATATGGCTCTACGTTTTGTGGTGAAGAAGGCTGGCGCCGCTCGTTGGTGTAAAAACTCGATATTTCCTCCATCTTTTAGGGCAACAACTTCATGCATCACTACCAGTCGCCATGAAGATTCCGGCGCGATGATGGCGATTCGGCGGCATCGCTGTAACTGCTGCACGGATCCTCCTTCGAAAACCGTCGACCTTACCACGAAAAATTACGATCCTCTGCTCTTCACCCTCCCCGCGTTCGAGAAGTACTTCAATCAGCTCAAGGCTACTCTCGGGTTCGGAATCGATGTGGATCTGGGTGACTACCCGAAAGTAATCCGACCTTTCCATGGACCCTTAGATTCTCCTGAGCTCACTACCCGTGCCCGTTTTGCTGTTCATCAACACAACATCTCAGACCAGAACGGTGCAGCCGTCCGGTTCGAGAAGGTGGTGAAAGCAAACAGATTGGGTGACCAGAAATACTTTCTGATTTTCCATGGCTTTGATGAGTCTCAGAAGAAGAAGAAAAGATACAGAGCTTTAGTAGAAGGTGATCAAGAAACCAATTTCCAGCTCAAAAGATTCGATCTTTACGGGGATGCTGATGAACCACTCGTTCTTTACCACACGCGGGTGAACTACTTGAACGGTTTTATAGTTATTGAAAACCCCAGTGATGATTTAATAAGTAAATATCGAAGAGTGGAGCACATATTCCCTAAAGATTACTTCAAGTATTGCAAACAAGTTAGAGCAAGTCAGGGGTTCGATGTTGATGATAATCTGGACCTGGGTGACCTTGAAGGAAGCATATTTCCAATGGATGCATCACGAATTGGTGATCCTGAAATCATAGAGTGTGCCCAGTATTCTGTGAAGGAGTATAACAGGCACCAGAAGGCAGGGCTGCAACTTGTGAGCGTGGAAAAGGGCACTCATCAGCTTTGGGATGTCGATTTTATGTACTACCTAACCTGTGAGGTAGATGGTGGTGGGCAGAGAAAAACGTTGCTTGCTCAAGTTTTTTATAGAGGGCTGGAAGGAGTGAAAAAGGTGACACTAATGGAGTATAGGCTTGTTGACAAGAACGGTGCCGTGATTAATCATTTCAAACGAATGCGTCAGGGTCCAAATCTGTCATGGTGCAAGGCCAAAGATCAAATATGGAAAGTTCCGGAAATAGGACTAAAGCAGTTTGAAAATTCCAAAATATGATTGTCATATTTTTTATTCTCAAAATAGGAGTAATTACTGCCAAGTTTGAAAAATACTGTCATGTTTTGGTAGTACCAGACTTCAAACACAAATTTTGTAAATACTGTCATGTTTGAAGTCTGGTACTACCAAAACATGACAGTAATTAATCATATTTTGTAAATAAAAACGTCGCAGTCTTATTTTGGAATTTTCAAACATTTTTTTTCCTATTTCGAGTAATATTCTCAAGATCAAATAGTGCTTTCTTTCTCTTCCAATTAGTCAATGAATTGAACCTTTTAGAGATGGCAACGGATGAGTTTGGGCCTTTGGGGCAAAGGTTCACTTCTTTGTCCTCGTCCCACGTCTAAAATGTTCTTCATCCCCTCTACTCCCAGACCCGGCCCGTCCATGCTCCACCCCGTTGTCCCCCACGAGTGCCCCCCATATAGATTTTATTTATCTTATTTGCATATTTTTAGTCCATTTTATAGATAAATATAAATATATACTCCGTATACACTAAAAGTGGTAAACTAAATAATATTGTATTTGATAAAAGTTACTTCCGTCAATTTTTAATTCTCCCTCCGTCCCATTTATATTGTCCTGTTTTACCTTTTCGGGAAATCCCACTTAAATTGTCCCATACCATATTTGGCAAAGTTTGTGTGGTTCTAAATCATACTTACTTTATTCTTACTTTATCAATTAATATCAACCACACAAACCCACTTTTCTTAATAACTGTGTCACCCTCTTCCGTCCCAATATAAATGAGACGGAGGTAGTAATTATTTAGTTTGAATAAGTTATGTGATGGCAATAAAAGTAAAAATATGAGTAAACATGTTATCATCATGTATTTTGTTACAAATTTCTCATCAATTATAATACAATTAATAAATACGGAGTACATTATACATAAATATGCATATGTGTGATCTATTTACTCACTTTCTCACTTTTAAAACTCATATACGGAGTAACATTTATGATAAGTATGTTTAGAGGGCTCTTCTCATCAGGCCGGCCTGACGGGCTGCCCCGTCCGGCCGAGCCCGTTTGGGTACCTTCCCGGTGGAATTTTTTGATGAAATTTTTTGAGCATGTTCCTCATCAAGTCTAGTTTGTCCATACCAAATTTCAGCTCAAAATTCGATCGGGAAGGTTGTCAAATGATTTTGCAAGTTAACTGGTCCGGAAAATACATATTCCGGACCAGTTAACTTGCGAAAATCATTTGACGACCTTCCCGATCGAATTTTGAGCTGAAATTTGGTATGGACAAACTAGACTTGATGAGGAACATGCTCAAAAAATTTCATCAAAAAATTCCACCGGGAAGGTGCCCAAACGGGCTCGGCCGGACGGGGCAGCCCGTCAGGCCGGCCTGACATGAAGTTTTCTCAGTATGTTTAATCATTACATATTATTATTCTGATATAATATGTATTACTACCTCCGTTCCAATTTGATGGTCCTAGTTCATATTCACTTGGCCAACACAAATCATTCTTAATCACCTACATTTTATATCAAATTTTATTAAGGTTTTTGCGAATTTGTAAAACTTTTAATGCAGTTTCTGAATATGTAAATTTTATTTGTTACAAATAATTTGAGTGCGGACGAAAATTCTTTTGCTTTATCGTCAGTCAAGTCTCGTAAATCGTAACAGGACCATCAAATTGGGATGAAGGGAGTCATTAATTAATCATGACTAATACACATACATTTATATATTTCTATACACAAATGTTCATGTCAGGAGTTCCTGACCGGAACCGCCGTCCGGACCGCGGCGTTTGGCCGCCTTCCCGGTGACTTTTTTTGATGAAATTTTTATGACATGTTCTCCATCAAGTCTAGTTTATCCACAAAAAAATTCAGCCAAAAACTCAATCGGGAAGGTCGTCAAATGATTTTTGCAAGTTAACTGGTCCGGAATATGTGTATTCCGGACCAGTTAACTTGCAAAAATCATTTGACGACCTTCCCGATTGAGTTTTTGGCTGAATTTTTTTGTGGATAAACTAGACTTGATGGAGAACATGTCATAAAAATTTCATCAAAAAAAGTCACCGGGAAGGCGGCCAAACGCCGCGGTCCGGACGGCGGTTCCGGTCAGGAACTCCTGACCGGATCATTACTCTATTTCTATATGTGTTTGCTATATACTTTACTACACACAATTTAATTAAACATGTTTATACATTATTTATATTTGGGAAAAGGGTCAATTAAGACCTTCTACTATTATGAAATGGTCATATAAGACCATGTAGTCAATAAAGTGTCATATAAATACATCTACCTATAAAAAGCAACCGAATGAGTCAAAATGACCTTTTGACAACCTCGTAATCCCGGTTTTAGCGTACGTTTGACTATCTTTTTAAAATAGATTATATGATTGACGTGGAATATTTAGTTATGATTGACTTAAATACAAGATAAAAATAACGACATGTGAGCCAATGTCGTGATTAAGAGGTTGTCAACGGGTCATTATGACTCATCCGATTGTTTTTATAAGTAGATATATTTATATGACACTTTATTGAGTACATAACCTTATGTGATGATTCCATAATAGTAGGTCTTATTTGACCCTTTAAAACGGGGACGTGCCGGAGATGGGGCAGGTGTAGCAATCCCCGTCCCTTGTCCCATATTTTAGCGGTGTATAAATATCTCACTCATCCCCGCCCCACCCCGCCCCAAACCCCACCCCATCCTCCCCCCACGGGGCGGTTCCCCACAGGCCCCGCCCCCATTGCCATCCTTAGAGCCTTTCAGTTTAGGTGTAAGTTACTCCTATCTTAATTGGCTTGATTGGAGCAGATTATTTAGAAGTCATGAAGAATGCAGCTAGCTGCACAATATGCAATAACCTAAAATGATAAATTAGGACTTATGCAGATCAACAACATAAAAAAACTCGAAGAAACAAATAAAGAAAATCTCAAAGTTGAGTAACCATTTGCAACAAAAAGTAACAATAAAATAATCATAGAATTTTTGTGTAAATTAATTATTTAAATTTACTATGATCGAAAATATGAATTTTATAAAATTGTTACTATTGATTTGGAAATTGTGGAAGTTGATTTTGTATGAACTATATATTTTGATTTGGGTTGAACCCAATTTTGGAAACTATAATTTTCAATTCTCCATACTATGCATTAATTTTAGTATCTATATTCAATACAGATATTTTGAAAAGGATTTTGATATTAAATGCTTTTGACTAAACTATGAACAACATTTTCATAATTGTGAAGTGTCACACAAAGAAACAGTTTCACCCTTGGGGCTACTATTGCTTTGGTCTGGTTGGATTGAACTAGGCGTATTCCATCCCGGGCATTTGGATATTGACAACCTTTCTTTGGTCGTAGTAATAGTTTCTAATTCATTTTTAGGATTTATTCCTTTTTGTGGAGTGGTTGGTAGAAAATCTTGGCTATTTGATTTTCTTAATAATCAGAGACTTAGAATCCGTTTTAGTGGTGTGCACACTTAAAGTAGAAGTTCAGTTTCCAAATTGGTAATTGGTAGGATCCAGAACTCTGAGGTGAGTCGTGGGTGACATGTGACCTACGTACTCGCCAGGCTAGAAGCCTAAAAATATGTTGAGTTATGTCCATCCTTTAAAAAGAATAGTTTTAGAATATAAATGGTTTTTTGAAATGAAATTGGATAACGTTTTTTGAAAGTGATATTTTTTCCTGTATGGTGTTTGAATTATTTTGAATCTTATAAAAGTTATTTTAATTATAACTATCATTTTTAAAATGTGAATTAGTTAATATATACAAATATTTTTTAGTTTAAAATGTTGATTTTAAACATGATTATGCTGAGTAATTTTTTGGGAGGTATATGAATTTCTAAGGATGATTTTGAATACAAAAACTAATTTTGTGAAACTATATTATTTTACGGGGTTCATTAAATTTTACTTGGCTATAAAACAATTTTTGGTTCCCCGTTACCCTTACATGGCACCAGGGTGGTCCAGAACTGGCACAAGTCAACCCTCTTATGTATCCATCAAAATCTTGAAATACAAAATAAATAAGACTAAAAATGCAAGCAACAAAACAGGAAACTGTTGCAATACATTGTACAAAATCTACATATTAATCTCTCAATCTGACTTCGACTATTTATGATTGTATACATCTGATTATATATCTCACAATTTACAAAAAGAACACAATACCCTAATTAATTGCAAAAACATTTTTAGCTGTAGAATCTGAATCAGACCGCCATTCCTTGAAGAAAACCTGTACACCGTGTGCCTAAAGCTTAAAATGTCAATGACAACACATATTCCGCATGCCACTCCATATTTTAACAGAGAGCAGTCGGCCTGTTGAAATCCATACTTGGATCTTCTTTCTTCTATTGTATCTTTCAACTAGATCACATGTGTGAAGAGATGGCAATGCCACATCCAACTTCTCCATAGTTTAAATGGATCCCTAGCTTGTGGGGTAACTATGGAAAGAGACAAACTCATTACTACAGACTTTGGTGTGTTAAAGTTAAGATGTGGGCTGTTATTCAGTGCTACACCATTTCTAGTACTTTAATACAGCCGGTGGAATTGGCGGCGACAACCATGTTTGATTTACGTCTCCAGCAGACGCTTGAAACAAACTGTCCTCTGTCATCATTAGTTTCTTTGCCAGAGATTGGGTCAATTGAGCCAAACTTGTAAGAAGTAATGGGCATGGGCTGAGATTTGTGATATGCAAATACCTGAGAAAGAAATAAGTGCCCTTCAAGATGAAAATGGTTGTTTCGGGCGGAGACTTGATAAAAAATAGTAGCAAGAGAAATACATGTACTCAAAAACTGCAACTACATCTACTTATTTGCTTTTATTAAAAGGGTACTAAGTGCTAGTTTGGTAACCTTGTTTTTTTGGGCATGTAAGGATGTTTCTAATTGGATCAAAAATTTCTGATCTGGTTTGGTAACCGTTGGGTGTGTGCGTATTTTATGATTGACTAAGTCTGGTCAGTTTTAAATATGGTTTGATCTGGGACTGAAACTAACTCAATTAAAAACACCATAAGCCTTATATGCAAGATCTTTTACCCAATACTAATTTTTACTTCACGTGCTAATTTTAATAATGAAAATAAGATTGGATGTACTTTTACGGAAAAATTGACAGAAGATGGCAATTTTAGCTTTTTTTTTTAAATCTTTATATATTATCTTCCAAACAGGCTCTAATTAACACCTACAGACCTAATTATCTAAGCATTCCCTGAACCCCACCCTCAAGAAATGAATTAACAAATACGGAGTAGGAATCAAACGGGCTGCAAGCATTTATCGTGAATCAAAATAAAATGTGCAGATATTGTAAAGAGTGCAGATAGATGGGCTAATAAGAAAGCGATTCCTACCTCATTAGTCTCAGAGCCACACGAAATATATCCATTAACTGCAGACAATCCCACAAAGTTCTGAAAGACAAAGAAAACCACATACGTCCATTAAAAGGTATAATATATTGTTGGGTGATAAATA